CAAAGGAAATTATTCAAGTTGGTGTCATACAGAGCTCTTAGTTTTCTAGAATGAAAGTATGATGAAGTATTAAAAAGTAATAAAATAATAGACTCATATGTGAAAAGACATCATTTAATGGGATAGCAAAGAAAAATATGACAGTAAGTTATAGCAGATTTCAGACTGTTCAGGGTGAAGTGGTTCATGGTTCTCCCCCAAGTATGATACGGAAGAATGAGTTTTCCAAAGAAATACTTTTCCACCTGGGATTTAAAACATAGTGTAAACAGTAAATAAATGTGCAGATATATAGTAGATCTATTGATATAGATTAAAAACATAGACATATATAAAAATATGCACACATACACATATAATATATATGCTTTTGTACAAATATCTGTGCATATATATTTAGTGACTTGTCAACTTGTGGAAAAAAATGTGAGATTTGTCAAAGGCACATATAGCTGTAAATCCTTTACAGCTATTTAAAGAAATGTATAACATCTTTATGACTATCATAATACTCATCTAGTACACACAGATACACAAACCTTATGAAGTACCAGAGATTTCTTTTTGCTTCATCCATTGTTCTGTCTTATTTAAGTTTACATTTTCTTGTCAGATGTGCTTTCAATGATCAATGATGTATTTAATTTCTTTACCTTTTCCTGTGTTTCATTTTGTCTCATTAGGAAACTGAAGTACTGTTGATGTTGTAAAAGTCAAGGGCATATTCATCTGGAAAATAAAGGAATCATGCTTAGTTATTAAATTTCCAACTGTTTGTGGCCAGATGATATCAGAAAACATAAACACATTAGGTTTAATCTTCCTAGTAATTTTGCCAGAGAGGTGACCACTCCTATATTTTATAAATTCAGAAATATCCTAATAAAGTTTAAGGCACTTGATGAAATACATTCTGTTAGTAAATGACAGACAAAATTCATTCTTTGACAAACTTTGACATTCAAGAAACTAATAGCACCAATTTCCCAGAGAAAAGTTTTATGGTCTCTTTAATATCTTAGTTGCTGTGAAACATAATCAAAAGTTTTCTACAAAATTTCAGGATATTTCCACTTTCCTTTATAAGTCTAAATTCATAAAGATGATATGAATTGATAAGCCATGTCATCAACAACAATAAAAACAACAAAAAAGACCTGGAAGCTAAGCATGGTTTGTATTTCAGGTGTAAGAGAACTCTTTCACATTAGATACAAAGGATTCTGAGCATTGAAAAAAATCTAGAACATAGAAAATGGCTCATTCAGAAGATAAACAATTGAATTAAAAAATCAGTATAATACACAAGAAAATCATCTATTCCTTAGCCTTTGCAGACAAGGTGATTTTGGAAAATTTAGTAGCTCAGGGAGTATTAGATATAGACATCACACCCACTAGCATTACAATGTGGTTTTTGCTTTCCTACCTTTTCCATAATAATCGTAGACCAAGACTGGGGCTGGCTGAATATTCAACACAAGGTTGCTTTGCTCAACAAAAAAAGTGAAACTGTTTGGTGTTCTAAAAACCTATAAAGACACAAATTATAAATACATCACAGCAAGGATAAAAAAATCATTCCTAAGTAAATTATCTCTAGAAGTTTGTGACCTACTGATCCACATTTTGGAGTTTCCTAAAAAAATTAAAAATAGGGTTATCATATGACTGAGAAATCCCATTTCTGTGTATGTTTTCAAAGGAAATGGGACTAGGATCTGGAAGAGATAGCTGCACTCTGATGTTTATTGCAGCATTATTCATAATAATCAAGACATGGGAACAATTTAAGTGTTCATGAAAGATGTATGGGTAATGATACTGTGGTGCATATCTATATATGTATATATAGATATTATATATACAAATTATTAAGCCTTAATAAAAAAGGAAATCCTGCCATTTACAACAAATCTAATGAACCTGGAGGACATCATAGTAAGTAAAATAAACCAGACAAAAGAAGGAAAATACTACAGTACCTCACAAGTGGAATACAAAAGAGTCACATTCATAGATGCAGAGTAGGATGGTAGTTACCAGGGGGGGGGGAAATGGGGAGATACTAATTCACTTCTTAAAATGAATAAGTTCTAGAAATCTCATATACAATGTGAGCTCTATATTTAATACTAGTATCTTGTAAAGATAAAATTTTCTAGAGAGTAAATCTTAAGTATTCTCACCACAAGGAAAGAAAACTATCTGAAGAGATGGATATGTTAATTAGCTTGATTAAACAATCAGCTTCCCATACATATGAAATTATCACACACTGCACCTTCAATATACAATCTTGGTAATAATAAATGAATGAATAAATAAAATCATAGCAAACTCTGTGATACTCTAACTTTATAAGAATTATACATCTACTCTGTGACTAGACAGAAGTTGTGAGGAATGGAAAATGGGAAGATGATATTTCTAAACTTCAGCACCATTTATCCAGGTAGCTGAGGCATCTATGAAATAACTTTAGAGTTAACAGGGAAAGGTAATCAGTGGCATAGAACGTTAATCATTCTTAATGTCTCACTTTTATTTTTAACAAAACCTATCATTCATATTTGTAAGAAAAGGAAGTATCCAGTCACCCTAAGAAGAGAAAGAGAAAGACATGAAAGAAAAAATATACTTCTAAGCTTACATTTTTTAAGTAGAAAAGGGCATGGTCATTCTTGATTTCAGTCTTCATCACTTGGCCCTGGCTTTCCAGCTTTGAAGAAATTGACAGGAATGGGGAACAGGTATTAGAACAAATGAGTGTACCATTCTCGACTTGAAAGCTCATGCTCTTTATTTTTTCAGGTTCCATTTTATGGAACTTCCTTTCTGCCATGATTTTTTTTTAAATTAACACAAGTAAGAACTAAAAGAAATATATTATTAACCATGGGAAATATATTTTTTGAAACATGGGAAATATTAACTGCTAATTATGACACAGTAAGAACAAAACATAACAAAACATAAATGAGAGCTCTAGAGAAGTTTGATTAGACAAAGAATTCAATGGTTTTGTTTTGCTAACCAATTATTTATTTCCTCCACATACTCTCTTCTTTTCCCTGGGCTGACAAGTTGGACTTGTGTGATTTACCTCCTCAATAGATG